TGGACTTGTATTACCTGTTTTGTCTGTTTAGGATGTAACAAGTTAAACACTCAACTGAAGTCAGACTCCTGAAAAACAAGTTATTTTCTACTCAGTGAAGACGTGAAAATCTAGAAGCACTGCTGTAAAAACAACTGTTTAATCTTTATTACAAAATTGCAAGCAGAGTCAGAGATACTTATACAGAAATTAACTTTCCACCCTTTTATGTGACCAAACATCAAGTTTTTGTGGGGGTGGGGGGGTTTCCATGTCAAAAAAAAAAAAAGAATAAAATATTTGCATTTCCATAATCGTTTCTTTTTGTCTTTTCTTGCAATTGTTGCTGTTGTGATGCTCTTTAAATATTGTAACTGTGTAATTTTAAGTGATAATAGGATTAATAATAACTTTATTTGTATAGTCCTTTTTAAAACAGAGTTACAGGGCTTCACTGTTTGAGTTAAAGCCACACATTGAATTAGACATGCTCAAACATACACATAAAAAGACTCTTAATCAGCCAGAGGTTCACACATTTATTCCAGCATACATACAAAAAGATGTAAACTATTGCCCCAAATAAAGGAGAAAAGATTAAGGAAAAGAAAACCTATAAAAATGTGTTTTCATCAGTCATTTAAAACAAATCACAGAATAGTCTGAAGGATTGCAGTTTGACATGAGGTATGGAGGACTGAGAGATGCATGTGAAAAGTGAACTGTAGTAGAAGAAGAAAGGCAGAAGAAAATTAAAGTGTGTTTAAAAGTCCAAGATGATTGAATTACAGCAAAAGTTTGATTTTTAAAATATTTCTGAGGTGAGGAAAATAAGTCTGAATGAGCCTTGAGCGTATATGAAATTCAAAATCCAGATGTTGGTGATGATTTGATGTTACTGGTGAGGGGCCAGTGTACTGACCAACCTCCTTAGAGAAACTGTCTGGGCCTTAACAGAAAAGTGCAACTGTGTGTCATCTGAATAGCAATGGTAGGAGATTCTATCAAAACCAGAAACCTAGCGGTAACAAATACACATAATCAAATAAAGAGGACAGGTCCAGGGATTGACCCCCTGGGGGACTCAACATACGAGAGGTGCAGAAGACAACATACATCGATTTATATGATTTCTAAATGATCTGTTGATAAAAGTAGCATCAGCAACTCTATCAAAGGCTGCAGATAGTTGATCAGGTCTAAAATCTAATGTTCACCCTCATCTGAGCGCGTTAGAATAACAGTAATTTTCCATAAAACTGTTTCAGTTCTGTGGTTTTGTCTGTAAACAGATTGGAATTTATCAAAGATGTTGTTTCCTTCAGTGAGCTGAAGGAGCCAATGAGCAACAACTTTCTCTGAGATTTTAAACATGAGTTTGGTAATTGACCTGCAATTATCTAAAACTTTGTGATCTAAGGAGGAAAGATGTTGGCTATTGATGCTGGCTGGAAAGCAGCCAGATAAGCATTGTTACTTTATAACAAAGAGAAGGCACGAGAAGATGACAGGTCAAACATTTTAAATGAATTTAGGACAGTTAATGTCCAGTGGGCAGGAAGAAAAACATATGTGTGAGAATATATAAAAAAGATTTGTTGTAAAAATCAGTTTAAACTTGGACAACAGACCTGGGTGAGAAACTCGGGCCAGTTGACAGGGTACAGACTTGAACTACAACCTGATACTGTTGATTTCATCATTAAAGAAATGCAGATTTTGTCATAATCATAAGAAGATGACAGAAGACAGCAAACTGAGAAGGAATCTCCTTTGGTTTCAAACAAGAACCCTGGACTATTATAGTTATATTTAATTAGCAAAATAAGATGTTCTCACACTCATGAGTTGGATGAGCGTGATTAGTAACTCCTTCGTGTGGAGGTAGTGAACGTGGAGATTCATTCTGCACTGTCTTCTGTGGAGACTGATGTGATCACTGATCCAAGAGGAAGAACTGATGACTGAGGCTAATCTGATTTTTAACTGTGCTATCCTATCCAGAACTAATGAACAAACTATTAAACCAACGAACTAAGTCACTGATATCTGAAAAAAATAGTTGTGTATACAGTCATACTAGAAAGGAGAGCAGAAAGTCTGGCTGCCCAGTGCTCATTAAAGATATAAAACTAAACAAATTTGTCAAAGATGACACATTTGTGAACGTATGCAAATATTATAGATAAACCAAGCGTGAAAACCTTATCCACTGATAGAAGTGTGGCCATGGTTATGTGTGGGCTCAGTAACACTGCACTGAATTAAAAAATGTTAAGGAATTCTGTGGCAGCGCAGTTAGAGGGATCATTGATATGTAAATTAAAGTCACCTACCAAAATTATTTATAAATTTAATATCACCAGATGAGAGAAGATTCACGCAGCAAATCATCGCAGGATGTGGGAGGTAAAGGGAGTAAATTGCAATACAACATAAAGCGACAGTGAGTGGAACACAGTTTAGGCATAAACACGCCTTTTTGGCTCCCCTGTTCAGCTGTAATACTTTCTCAGTGTTGACCTACTGAACTGCGTGCAGCACAATGAAGCTCAGCTGACTGAAACACAGGCTGTTACTGGTGCAGCTCAGTGCTGAGGGTGAACAAGACTAACTTTCGATTTCGAGTTTATCAGGGAAAACATGGCGTCCGTCTAAAACCTGACTGTAGAAATCGTTTGGTAAATCAAAGCAAAAGAAGAGTAGCAAAAATAGAAGTTGAAGCATAAACGAAGACTTTCTAAAACGTAAAAAAAAAAAAGTGAAATAAAACCGGAGCTGCTCGACCAAACGCTTCGGTTTACGTGAGGAATCAGACTGCTGTCGGTGTGTAGTTATCTGCATCAGCATGTTGGAAGAAGCAGCACCAGAATGGTTGTCAGAGGAGGTGAAAACAGGAGTAAGTATAAAGTTTTATGTCTTTTATAGGTTTGGTGGACTGTTGATGTGCGCAGTGCTGCGCTCTTTCTTATTTCGTGGGTTAAATGCGAAAATTACAGCTGCGTATTAAGCGGAAGTAATTCTGAATATTGTTTTTTTTCCTGTTTTATTCGCAGACAACCATTATTGGCATAGAGTATGATGGTGGAGTCGTGTTGGGGTCTGATTCCCGAGTGTCTGCTGGGTAAGTCGTGCCCGCGCAAACGTGCGCGTTCGCCGTGTGACCGTTTCTGCCTGGATAACAGGTCCTTCTTCCTCCTATTTTAACATATTCACCCTTCAATGTGAATCTCTCCCTTCATCCTCCACACAGAGAGACGGTGGTAAACAGGGTGATGAACAAACTGTCTCCCCTCCATGATAAGATCTACTGTGCTCTGTCAGGATCTGCAGCAGACGCTCAGACCATGGCTGAGATAGTCAACTACCAGCTGGATGTGCACAGGTAAATGCAAAGTACTGAAAAAAGGCTGATACATTGTGATCCTTTCATAAGTAAGGTTATAATTTAATAGTAAGATTGTAAAACAGAAAAAAGCTTAAAGTCTGATTAAGCTTGTTTGCATCCAGTCCTAACCGTAAACCCAGAATGTTGGAACGTTGTGTAAAATCTAAATAAAAAAACATTATGAATGATTCACAAGTCTGATAAACCACTATGTTATTCACTATAGAGTGTATAAAAACATCACACAATTGAAGTGAGGAAGTAAACTATTTAAAAATATATTATCTCATTTCACATTTCTATGGCTGCAGAACATATGAAAAAAACATAGGGCCATGTTTACCACTGTGTAGTTACCCCTCTTATTTTACCAACAGTCTGTAAACATCTGGCATATGAAGAGAGCACCTGCTGAACTTTTGAGAGAGTAATATTGTCCCATTCGTCTGTGGTAGAGCATTTTAGCTAGACTGGACTGCATGCAGGTCAGTTCAGCATCCAGACTCTTCTACTACGAGTCATGCTTTTGTTATAGCTTCAGTATGTGGTTCAGCATTGTCTTGCTGAAATATGCAAAGGCTTGCCTGAAAAAGATGTGGTCTGCATGGGAGCATATGTTCCTCTAAAATCTGTGTATACGTTTCATCATCAACTGTGGCTGTAGTGGCTGTAGCTCAGTAGATAGAGCAGATCAATAAGTAATTGGAAGGTTGGTGGTTCGTTGGTGGTTCCTGTAGTATCAGGTAAATGATAAGAGGTAGGAACATTTGTGCTGGGTTGTTGTTGGGAGGGGGATTAAAAATAATAAAGGATACTCACTGGAGTAATGGTGGGTCTTGTGTGTTATGCTTCCGGTTAGATAACACCCACAACCTCTAATAACGGAACAGTTCCTGCCTCCCCCAGTTTGCATGGCAAGTATCCTTCGGCAAGATACTAATCCCAAATTGCTCTCCGATGATTCCATCAGAGTATGAATGTGTATGAACGTTTAAATTGAAAGCACTTAAAGTATAGAAGAAAGTGCTTGTGTGATGGTTGAATGTAGCAAGTTGTATAAAGTGCTTTGAGGACAGTAGAAAAGCACTATATACGAATCAGTCCATTTACAGTGCCTTTTCAAATGTGCAAGCTGCCAATGCCACAGGCACCATGTCATCAGAGGGTCAGACTTTCGAACTAAGCCAGTAACAAACCAGATGGTCCCTTTCCTAGTCGATGAGAATTTCAAATTGTGATTCATCTGACCAGAGAGCAGTTTTCAACAATTCCTCAGTCCATTTAAAATGAGCCTTGGTCCAGAGAAGATGGCGGTGTTTCTGGCTCATGTTCACATAGGGCTTCTTCTTTGGGTGACAGAGCTTTCACTTGTGTTTCTGGATAGCACTGTGAACTGCCTGCTCAAAGACAGTGATTTTTGGAAGTGTTCCTAAGCCCATGAAGTGAGTTTGATGACAGAATCATGCCTGTTTTTAATGCAGTGCCACCTGAGGGCCCAAAGATCACAGGTATCCAGTACTGATTTTCAGCCTTGTCCCTTGCACACAGAGATTTCTGCAGATTGACATTTTTTTTGATGATATTATGAACTGTAGCTGATGAGATATTCAAAGTCTTGAATTTTACATTTAGGAAAATTATTTTGAAATTTGTAAAAAATAGTCAGCACTTTTGTTTTTGCTTATTGCTGAACGTATGCCCAACTTTACGTCTGAGTAACTCTGCCTCTAAAACATGTTTTTTTTGTAGCCAATCAAGTTACTGACTTGTTGCCAGTTTACGTTATTAGCTGTAAAATGTTCCTCTTGCTTTTTCTTTTTCGTACTACTTACTTTTCCAGCCTATTTTTGACCCCATCCCAAACTTTACCTCATTTTGAATTTGTTACTGCTATCAAATTCAAAATGAGCTAATATTTTTCAT